ATATTGTGCAAAGTTTTGTTTTGTCATTGTAGTATTTTATTTATTATTTTTGTAATTTTTATTGTGAGACACGTTGTCAGAGTCCTATTTATATACCTGTATTTCTGTGTTAATAAGTTCCAATCTAATCTAGATTATTTCAATTTTTACAAGTTTAAAATTTATTATAGGGAAAATTAGGGTGAAATGCGGTATTGGGGTAAAATAGGTTTTTGAAAATAGACCCTCTTCAGAGCCTCAAAAACTATCGTAAATAATTGAATTAGAAGTATCGTGATACAAAGACAAAGCCATCTTTAGCTATAGCCCACTTTTCACTCAGTATATTGTTACAAGATAAATACAAACTTTTGCATGTCTTTTATCTAATTTTTTAGCCTACGACTTCAGAAACTGGTACTTAATCATTAAAACTTTGAACAAAAGCTTTTATTGTATTTAACTAATATATTACTTTTGACAAGTAGGGCCTTTAATTTAACAATAACATCAACCCCGATTATAAAGTACTTTAATCAGCGGCGGGTTTTGTCACTCAAAAGGTCGAAAGAAAAAAGAAGAAAAAAGGTCCGCATATTTTCATTTATAAGTAAATGAAAAACATTTAAAACTTTCTGTTTTAAGTTTTTGTACTTTAGTGTAAGTTAATTTACAAAAGAATATTTCTGAAAAAAGCCCAAAGGGGGAGCTACTACCGTATGGCCCCCCAAAACCTGCCACTGATTTTAATGAGCCAAACTACAATGAAGTAGTTTCAAGGGGGCAAAATGGGGTTCTTACCCAATTTTTCACGAATTTGTAGTTCTTTTCAATTTTTTACAAATATAATGCTTTTAGCTTAATTGTAACTTTATTTAATTAATAAAAACAAAAAAAAAAACAAAAAAAATTTATTATAGTAGCTTTTATATTTTATTATATAGTATATATTTTTTTGTTATGTTGATTTTAGGTGCCCCAAGAAGTCCTCGCGGTCTTATCACAGAGCACCGCGGAAGAGCATTTAATAGGAAGTTCACGCCACCTTCCTAACCGATGTCGCAAAACTTGCCCAGAGGTGGGGTTTGAACCACGGATCTTACGTTTCTGAGGCAAGTGCGCTACCACTGCGCCACGGCAGTATATACTAGTATAGCTAATATAAAGTGGTATTGGTATACTAGCTTTTACTAGTACTAACATATTATTTTAGACTTTAAACCTAATTCTGCTATAAACTATATATTTAGTGTAAAATTTTTTATAGTTTTTAGGCTATTGTCATATTGATGTGATATATTGTCATATTGATGTGATTTTGCAAAATTTTGATCTGCCTTTTTCTTTTTCTATTTTCAAAACTAAGCTTAAAAATCTAATTCTTTCTATGGAGAACGTTTTTCTATATTACTAGTGTTATGGGTTTGTCTACCTATTATTAAAACTAAGTTTACCTAATTATATAGTTACATTGAGATTGTACTGAAACTGATAGCTATGAATAGATGTATAAATATTTATTACTTGAGTTCGTATTGTATATTGTTTTATATTTTATATTGCTAGTATGTATAAATTTTCAGGTTTATTTTATTTTTTATTTAGTATTTGAAAAAACAAAAAAAACAAAAAATGTTATTACGTTTTTTATAACACGGTTTTGTAAAAATTAAAAAAAATAAATAAATTAATAAAAAAAAAAAAATAAAAAAAAAAAAAATTATGTATAAATGTGTATGTGTATCTGTGTATGTATGTATTTATGTATGTATACTGGTAAATATATGGGTGTATATGTGCTGTTAGTATGGGTGTGTGTGTGCTTGCAATCTATGTACAAAAAAAATAAATAAAAAAGAATAGTGCTGCATAACCTCTGGTTATGCCCAGCAACATAACCCAACTAAAACTGCTTGGCAATCCTTGGGCTGGATAAGGATTCGTTAATATTACCTTTGATCTTGTATGGTAAAGATCCAAACACAATTTATACTTAAATTAAAAAAAAAAAAAAACTATATTAGAACAAGATCTAATTATTAACAAGAATGTCAACCCCACCCTGATTTTATTTTCCACTATTTTAATTCAAGATATGTTCAATTCAATTGTTATTTTTTTTAATCTATTCGATTTATATTAACATCACCAACACGCTATGCCGTCATCAAATACATCAATAAATATACTGGAGTATTTTAATTATTTTTAACTATTCTTTGCAACGGTTTACCGTAAAAACCCAATGGCTTGGTCATCCATTGAATGTGTCTTTGATTATCATCCAACCATGAAATTTATTTGTAACGAATGTCTATAAAATAATATATATTCTTTTTTTATTAAACGATTTCATTTTCTAATTGATTAAAATAATTATTTTAATGTTAGTATTATTTGTGTATGTGTTTTTCTGTATTTTATACGCATTCGGAATTAGGGACATAAACACCTAATTTCGGATAAAAACAATATTTTTTAAAAATAAAATAAAAGATAGATTTATATTGCAAAAATAATATTTTTTATATCGTTTGATTTGTCTAGTTATGAAGTTTATTTATTTAAAAAAACTATTTCAAAATTCTTTAAATTGAGCTAGTTTTGACAATTTAAGTTATAAACCTAAACCATCCGGAATACGGGGGTTTTTACGGTATATAATTATTTATCAAAACAGATCCAATTCAAAAGCGTATAAACATTTACAAAAAATCAATAAAAATGAATTCATTTAAAGCGTTTTGATTCCAGCGGTTTGATTCCAGCGGTTCCAGCGGTTCAGCGATTCTACGACAAGACCTCAAGGACTTCTTTGAGTTTCCGCATTCTTTATTCCTAATTTTTATTGTTATATTTATTGTTATATTTCTATTGTTAACGAAATCTTTATTGTAAATATTATTCATTTCTTTTTTATGTCTTACGTTTTATTCACATAAAGTTATAATAGAAATTGTAATAATGATTGTAATAAAGAATAAAAAAAAAATAAAAATAAAAAAAATATATGATTTGATGTCAGTCTAAAAACAGACATCAATAAAACACAGGGGCGATTCCAGGCTATTTTTTTAGGAGGAGGAGAGTGGGGTGGGAAAAAAGCGGTTTTAAGATTTTTTTGGTTTTGTGGTTCCAAACCATCTAATTATGGTTTTAAATATACACTTTGTTACGATGTTGTGTAATATTACATATCTACAAACTTAATGTTTTCAATGTTTTATGTTTTACTTATAAGTGGAAAAACAATTTATCCCTACCTGTTTTTAACGACTTTTTTACATTAAAACTTGCTAATAAGTACACACTAAGAAATAAATATTTGCTAAAATAAAATAGTTCTGCCTAATTTTGATCCTTTTATCCGTTTTTCTGTTTTTAAAAATGAATTAAAAAATTTTATTCTTGCTATGGATGACATTTTAAGTTACTATTAGCTTGAAGTATAAATTTGATTTATGAGATTTATAATAATATTTATATCAATAAATTTATTTTCTTTAATTTATAACAGATCTATAAAATTTATTATTATGGATTTTTATAACAGATTTGTGAGAATTATTATTACAGATACGTGATTAATATTATGAATTTATAATTATATATTTATTATTACGGCCGTTTTTGGATTTATATTTTCAGTTTTTATAGTATGATAAAATTGTAAAGGTTCTGATGATAAAATCAGTTGATCTTCTTTCAGAATTTCTTGTAAAATATAGTATTTATTTTACGGCGAATGTAAACAGAAAAAAAAAAAGGAAAAAAAAATTATTATTTTCAAGCAAATTTGTATAGATTTTACCTTAGTTGCTCTAGAAGAGCTTTTTCCTCAACAACCTCGTTTTACCCAGGTTTTCCCTACTATTTAATTCTTTACTTTTTTAAGGGTAATCGGACCCCGTTGTGGGTGGTTAAAACTTTTTTCCAATGTGCATATCCAGGTTTCGTGTTTTTAATAAAATCCTGACCCGAATATAATAAGTGCTTGAATACCGAATTCGTTTTAAATAATAATAAGTTATAACAAATTTTGCTAAAATATACTAAAAATAATTATTTGATATAATATACATAATAATCATTTATCTATAGCAAATTATTATTAGAAAATTATTATTTTATTTATCTAACACCCAATTTACAAGGTAAAAAGAAAAAAAGAAAAAAGTTATTTCGGATGACTTTGCTTAAAAACGTTTTCTTCCAGAATTTGCTTGAAAACTCCTCTTTGCTCTTTTGCATTCCAGCACTCTATTGCATACTTCAAGTTTCGTTCAACTTCGGAAGGAATTTTACTTTTAGAAAGTGGTATTTTTACCTTCTTTTTATTTTGAATTAGGTTTTGAAAATTTAATATCTGAAGACGGCATAGTTCCTGAATATCACTAACAAACGAATGTTGAAATAACGGGTGTTGCAGTTGTGAAAAGATAATGTCTGCAGTTGTTTTGTTATTAAGAAGTCGAAGGAACAAGTTTAACTTATTTTGTTAAACACTTTTTGAAATTTCCTGGATTTTAAATAACGAATTCATATAGTTTTTACTATGTTTCGAAACATTTAAAAACGATTTTAGCGCACTCCTTCCAATTATATCTAGCTTTTTCATCAGACCAGGATTATTTTCACATAGCTCCATACCATAAGTTAAGGTGGGGACTGCCAATGATTTAAATATATAGGAAATAGAACTGGGGTGGGCAAACCGGATTCCAGATTGAATAAGAGTTTAAACAACAGCTCTAAAGTTTGATATTTTTTCATCAACATGATGCAAATGATAACAACAAATGATAAGTTATAACAAATTTTGCTAAAATATACTAAAAATAATTATTTGATATAATAATATACATAATAATCATTTATCTATAGCAAATTATTATTAGAAAATGAGTATAAACGGTTACAATAATTTAAATAATTCGGGTCTTGATTTTATAAAAAATGCAAAACCTGGATTTACACATTAGAAAAAAGTGTGGGTTTATTAAATTGTTTAGGAACGACGGAATTGGAAACACACATAATAATGGCAGTTACCGAATGTAGAGAGCTAAAATTTATTTCGCCGCTTTTAAAAACATGGTCTTTTGAAGAAAATATTGTTAAATGCAGAACATCACCATGTGGAAATTTTTTAGCGGTGAAAGGAAATTCTATTTTATCAATCATTCATATGACATTAGAATATCAAGTTGATGTAAAAGTAAAATACACAGAGTAAGTAGTTATTATGTAATTTTTTAACTAAAATTTTCTCTCTAAGGCTTATAGAAAAGCCTACATTTACATTACTATAGAAAAGCCTACATTTTTCCTTTTTTTTTATTTCACTTATAATTCAATAGATTTATAATAAAAAACCTGCAAGACTGTTTCACTAAAAATTTTAGCGTTATATAAGTCCAGAAACAATAGCATCAACAACAACACCACTACCAACAACATCAACAATCTTATCAACGCTCTAAAAATCCATATCAATCATATCTAAAATTATCTACATCATACTAAATGGGCTGTTAGTAATAATAATCTATCTAGTAGATTTTATGCTACATAGTAATTTGATGTCAAATGACCCAGAATTTTTTAAAAATGTAACCCTATATTAGCCATTCCAGACGACTTTTTAATAATTGAAATAAGCATATAAAATTTATATCATTAGATAGAGCTTGACTTGACTTAAAAAATGAGGGGTCATTCAGTCTTTGAAGTTGAGCGGATCCAAAGTTATTGAATTTTTTGTAGTGAAAAAATGGATGATTTTTTGATGAAAGGTATAGGGCTTAAGTATGGAAAATTTGGCACCAAAAAAGAGAGTATCTATGGATCATATTGACTTTCGAATAACTTTTAAACTGTTATTTCATTTGACTCTGTTATTGACTCTGTTATTGACTCTGTTATTACTTGACTCCATAGTGATTCAACAAATATAAGAAAATAAAATGCCAAAAAAATTTCTTTTAAATTCTGTCGGGATTGCCCAGAGTCCTCTATTTTACAGACTAAGGATTTTTACTCATTTACTTAGTTTTGGTGTCATTAATAACTTATAACCGCTATTCCATTTGACTTTTTCCATAGTAATTCCACAATTATAAAAGAATAAAAAACAAAAAAAAATTTTTTTAATGTGTCGGGATTACCCAAAATCATCTATTTTACAGACAGAGGGTTTTACCTAATTTAATTAGTTTTGGTGTAATATTGACTTTTGCATAATCTTTGAACCATTAATGAATGTGACTTGTTATATTCCATGGCGATCCACTAACTATTAGAAAATAAATTACCAAATTTTTTTTTAGTCTGATGAGATTGGCTAGAAACATCTATTTTACAGACTAAAGGTTTTCACTTATTTACTTAGTTTTGGAAAACAAAATTTGGGATTATATTGTAATTACAACATGCAAATATGATTAAAGGAATCATGGAATCCAAATAGTACTTCATTTTGAAATTGTTGTATAATTTACAGACCAGTCAGTAAATTACTCTAAAAGGGCTGCGCAAACCAATGGGGCATATTGACTTTGAATATATTTGATATTTTTGAACCGTTATTACATTATACTCAAATTTTTCATAATGATCCAATTTTTATTTTAATCTGACAAGATTGGCCAGAAACATCTATTTTACAGACTGAGGGTTTTCCCTTATTTACTTAGTTTTGGAAAACAAAATTTGGCATTATATTAATATACCATGCAAATATGCATAAAGGATTCATGATTTCCAAAAAGTACATCACTTTGAAACTATGTTATAATTTACAGACCGTTCAGTAAATTACATTGAAATCTATTGGAATTATTCAGAATGACTTATTTTAATAGACAGGAGATTCTTCAATAAAGTTAAAATTAAATTTTTATTGAAAATTACTCAGAGCAAATGAATGTCCTGAAATTTGGATTACTTTCAACAGCAATAGGCAGGTATAACAGCAGAATCTCTACCTAAAAATGTTACAAAAATATTATTAGAAACACAGGCACACAATGTGTTAAAAAATTTTTGTTAATTTGTTTAAAAATTTAAAAAATTTAACTAAATAAGTATAACATAAGAAAGTTACTCTTTGTGATTGTTTATGTGAACTATTGACAACACCTAAGATTAAAAAATAAAAATAAAAACATAAAAAAATGTTTTTATTCTAAAATTTATTTCTTGGCTTTTAGTGAATGATTAGAAGTAACAAGTTTCAGTAACGAAACAACCTAATAATCATTTTAAACAATAGTCACCAGCAAGAAAGTAAGCCAAGTTGTCTATCAACACAAAACATCACAACAATAACATCACAATCACAAAACATACAGACCCTGTTGCACAAAACGCTCCTCAATTGCAATGATATTGATATTCCTATACTGATGAATAGCAACACTGTTATTATGTCTTCTAATTTACATTATCTCGTATTATTGCTTCGTACTGACCTCTCATAGAAACCTTATCATCATCTTTTTAGCAACCTTGTTTCCGTGCTTACACAGGTTGGAGTTTTCTCATAATGCCATTTCTCCATCATACACGGTCTCGGACATCTTCTTTCCTTAAATGTAATTTTTTCAAACCATCTGAAACACATTCTTTCCAAATTTTTCTGTTTCTACCTCTACCTTTTTCTCCTGAAAGTTCTAACTTTCTGCATGATGATAACCAGTCATCTGCATCCTTACATATGCCCAAACCAACTCAATATTTCCCTGACGCACCCTATCAGATATACTCACTATGCCTAATCCTTTTCTTAAATCATAGCTGCTTTGAAATGCTTATATACAAAACATTTCAAAGTATTATTTGTATATCATATTATAAGTGCTCCAAAAATTCTTAATCATCTAGTTTTTTTCCTCAAACATCAGTTCTTTGGAATTCACTCCATTCATCTTGTTTTCCTGATTCATACAATATGCAATCTTTCAAGTTGTCTGTTAGTTGTTGTCTTGCTATATAAACTTTGTCAGTAACTTCCAATTCTAAAAGTGATTGCTTGTAGCCTTAAAAAAAAGATGTAAAATAAAAATATGAAGATATTAAAAAAAAAAAAAAGTTTCAGGGAACGTAACAATAGATTATTTGAGCACAGTTTTCTCTTTTAATGATGCTTTTTCTGATGTTGTTGGTTTTTTACCTTCTGATATTGTTGGTTTTTTACCTTCTGATATTGTTGGTTTGTTACCTTCTGATGTTGTTGGTATGTTACTTTCTGATGTTTGTTCTAACTCTATTTTTATCTACAACAGTGAAATTACAATAGAGAAATTGTTCTAAATCAGGTTACTGTTTTTGTATCTTCTGATTTAAACATGCGAATCGCTAATGATGATTTTTTGTGCTTTGTTACTACAAATTCTATTGTATACATTCCTTTAGGAAATGGTTCTGATAATTCTTTTCTTGAAACACAAGTTAATGAAGAGAATATTTTAGTTTCCAATTCGAATCATTACCTAAAGGGATGTGTACAATAAAAGTTTGGGTAACAGAGCGCGAAATATCATCATTAGCAATTTGCAAGTTTACATCTGAAGATACAAAATCAGTAACTTGATTCGGAACAATTTCACTAGAGTGGATAGAGATAGGGATAGAACTAGCATCAGAAGGTAACAAACTAAAAACATTTAATGCAACATTCAAAGAGAAAACAGCTTAAAAATTACTTTGTTAAATCAAAACTTTTGGCATGATATAATTTTGCAATGAAATCTTTTGACTTCTTAAGGCACTTTATAAGCATAACTCTAGATATAGGAAATTAAAACAAGAATGTAAAAAATAATGAAAGCTGCACCCATGTCAAGTTAAATTTATCTTTTTCTTTACAAATTGTAAGAAATGACTATTGGTTTAAACCAAATCTGAATTTTTGAGGGATATAATGCCTCCATTAATATTTAGATAATCCAAGACAGTGTTGGATGCTCAAATTAAAAGTAAACTTAATTTAAGTGACAACAAAGAAAAATAAGAGGGTGGATCATTTCACTTTGGTTTCAATAAATAGAATTATTAAAATCATAAAAAATTGTGCTATAGTATTCCTAATTTAAAATTTTGACTTACTTTCTTGACTTATAGATGGAGCAACCATTGTTTCGAAACTATTGTTAATGCCAACACCTAAAATAAGGGAATTAAAGTATTACTAGAGTTCATAATATTTTAACCAACAAACAAAAATAGGTAAATAAATGTAAAAAGAAATAAAAAATTTCTTACTCAATTCCATTTTCGTGAGCTTTTGTTCAATACTATTTTTACTCAAAATAGTATTAAAAAAACCTGAAAATTTTAGGTTTTTGTTTTGAAAAAAAAGTTTAAATAAGCAACCTGTAGTTTAAATAGTAAAAATTAGGCTTTTAACTTTCTTGCACAATGCAGAGCTTTTACCTGGGAAGAACTAAAATATTTATTTTCATTTGATTAAATTATTGATTAAAATGTATTAAATTATTGAATTTATTAAAATTTATTAAAAACTTATTAAAATTTATTCAAAATTTGATTAAATTATTGATTAAAATTTTGATTAAAAATTAAATTTTAAGAATTATACTTTCATCTTCAATTTAATTTTCATAATTTGACCAAAATAAACGCGAAAATCAAAACAAATAACGTCATAAAATACGCAAAGAAAAGCATATATATACACATAATTTATATATGCAATTCCTTAGTACCAATTCTTTAGGTTAAATTAAATAAATACTTGTTTTAAATAGCGGAAAGGCTAAACTTGCCATTTCCACCTGGATGTTTTTTAAAAACACTTTTTTTTCATATAAATTAACATTAAAGTTTTTAAACGCTGAGAACTAAAATTTTTTGTATAAATGTTAAAAAATGTCCAGGTTCCATTAAATTCCTCGTCCTTTTCTTAATAAATATGGAAAGTTTCATAAAAAATAGATGTGTTTAAGTTCTAAGGAATACATACCTATAAAAGCTGGATTTTAAAAAAACGTTTCCACGGCAAGCTTTTTTATGAAAAGTTGTCTCAACATATGGACAATATATAAATGAAGTCATACAAAGCTAACTGATGCAAAAAACCTCAAGAGGCTTGCTTAACTGTACAAAAAGATATGATAGAGCAAAGTTTATAAAAATTACGTGTTTTTTGTCAAATGTCAAATGTTTTTTGTTAAGCCTTGGAATTGCTACCTATATCTTAGATTTTGCTG